GGGGGGGGGGGGGGGGGGGGGGTGGCCTGCACGGAAAAAAATATCAACATCCAAACGACCGTCTTTACGGTTCGTCGAGGTATGTGTTTTTTCTGAAGGGAAGAAAGAGGCTGCTTCATGTCCTTGTGGGTCGCAACATTCTTCAGTACACGGGTTTGGCTCATGTGCGACCAACAAGACACCGAGCGCCCTGTTTATGGGTCGCCTGCAAAGGGCATGTGTATCATCACACGCTGTCGGCTGCAGTTTGTGGCTGTCGTCGGCCAAAGGCCTCTCTCTGATGATATGCGTTGTACACTGATCACACTCGACTCGGAGCAAGCAGCAGAAAAAAAGGCAACACCGAACAACACCTCGGTTCACGTTTGCAGGTCCGTGTACAATCAAAACTGGACAGTACGCTCTGTTTCTGGTACGCGAGCAGAGCATATGTGGATTGAGCACACGCCACTGGCTTCTGTTTGTGGATGTCGTCGGTCAAAGGGGTCTCTCTGGCATGCGTTTTTGACTGGTCACCGTGACACACTGAGCAACAAACACGCGGCGGAACAAGAAAAAAGCCCAAAAAGTCAAAACCGCAACACTCTTGGTTCACGTTTGCAGGCCGCGCGCAATCAAAATTGCACAAAACGATTTTCCAACAGAATCGATGTTAGAATGGCCTAACTTTCCAACAGGGCGGCCGGAATCCCTGTTGGATTTTGGGCTGTTGGAATTTGCCATTTTCCTCCCCGTACCAAAAAAAATTTTGGGCTCAGAAAAGGATTCCCCCCCCCCCCCAATCCAATCCGAAAATTCAAGCCGAAGACTCAGCCTGAAGCGAACACTTGTAAAAAACAGAGGAAAATAAAACCTCTGCTGTGATGCTCAGGGAGCGCGCTTAACGTGGGCCTGCACCGTAACCACTACCACCAACAACGATGCCTAGGTCAACCGGGTCGTGCCTTGTGTCAAAGGTTCTTGTGTAGTTTTTTTTGTGCGGTACATGGGTACAGTAGTGATCAGGATGAACCAATCCATTAACCAGTCGAGTCTGGCCCTTGAAAAAAAATGCGCAAAGAGATGTAGGGCACACGTAAAAAAAACGCGGGAAAAAAGCTTGCTTTGCTGTATGTAATACATACTTCCACATTTTCAGGACGCGAGCTGCACGCGTGGCTGCTGGGCACAGCAGTGTTTCGAACTTCAAAACAAGATTTTTTTAACGGCCAAGGCACGAGACCAAAAAACACGCAAAAAAAGTACTACAAAGGTTCAGATGTCAGGAATGGGACCCGTACATTTTACGCCTTTCTCTCTCTCTCACCTCCTGTGTGTGCCCTCGTAGCGTGCCCACCGCGTGCCGCTGCGTTCGGAGGTCGTGGTGCACTGCCGTGGTGTCGCGGGAGCCGGAGGTGAGGACGTGCTCGTTCCACGCGAGGGCTCCGACGCGCGCGCTGTGGCCGTTCATGCTGCGGAGCATGGTGAGGGTGGACGAGTCCCAGAACTGAGTCTCGCCACCCGCGGTGCCCACCGCCAGGTGGGTGCCGCTGGCCGTCCACGATACCGAGGAGACGTAGTCTTGCTCCCCCTCCAGGCTGCATAGCTCGGTAATGTCGCCGCTCTTGGCGTTCCAGAGGTAGACGCACTGGCCCAGGGCCACCGCGAGGACGTCGTTGGAGCCCCAGGAGAGCAGGTTCAGGTAGTAATCGTCGAGGAGGTCGGGCGCGTCGAGGATGCGGACGGGGGCGGAGGGGATGTGGCGCGTGGGGCGCGCGGCGCCGGAGGAGGAGGAGCGGGAGGAGCCCTTGTTTTGGCTGTAGAGGACGCGCAGCCCGTTCTGGTAGCCCTCCTCCTGCGCGGGAGCCTTGTTGCGGAAGGCGAGCACGCGGTGGCCGGGAGCCGCGGCGGCGGCGGGCGGGTGGCCGAGAAGGTTGGACTCCAGCACCTTCTGGAACTCGCCGCTGTTGCCGCCGTCGACCGCCGCGGACGTGAATCCAGCGCCGCCGGGAGCCGTGTTCTCCCCGCCGTCGTTCTCCTTGCTCATGAGGTAGTTGGACCTGCTCATGCACATGGAGGAGCGGCTGGGGATGAAGCGGTCCCGTCTCTCGCCAACCGCTGGCGCCGCGATTCCCTGGGCGGAAGACGTCGATGAAGATGACGAGGACGAAGAAGAGCAGGTTGAGGCGTCCGCGGCGTCCTTGAGCTGCTGTTGGGCCTGCTGCTGCTGCTGCTGCTGCTGCTGGAGCTGCTTGCGCTGCCACCGCGGCAGGACCGAGGTGCTGAGCGGCGCGTCGAAGGACATGGATGCCTCGAAGTCGGCGATTTCGCTTGCGCGGGTAGCTGCCATGTTTCTTTGAGGATTGGGTGTCTAGTTTATACTCGCGCTCTCTCTGTGCTTTCTCGTGTACGCGATTGGACTGCTGTTGATTTAGTGCAGGGGCGTGTAGCTCGAGAGAGATGGGAAAGAGCGGGAGTGAGCGGAAGGGGGAGGAAGGACCGCGGCGCCTGGACGGCGGAAAGAGAGGAAAAGCAGCCGTTAGGAATAGCGCGCTTTCCACGGGGATGTCAGGATCCGTAGTACCTGCCGTGTACCGCAAAAGTATATCACGGTGCCCCACGAAACGGAGAACCAGACCACAGGCTGGCAGGGCAACAGGTAAGGCCGCTGGGGCTCGAGAGCAGCACCGCTAGCATGGAGCGTGACAGACCACTGAAAGGAAAGGGTGGAGGGAAGAGAGGTAAAGGTAGAGGCGGCGGCGGTGGCGGCCGCGGCGGTGGCGGTAGGCCAAAGTCGTCACAAGGCAGGGGTCACGGCCACCGACATCATGCTCAAGGCGACAGCTGGCGGAGGAACGGAGGAGCAGCACGAGAGATGATCGATCGCGTGAGGGACGAATCGGGGGAATTGACCCAGTTCATCACTGTCAGTCTCCGCATGTGGGACTTCGAGCAGTGTGACGTGAAGAAGTGCACGGGTCGCAAGCTTTGCCGGCTCGGTGAGAACAGCGGCGGCACAACGAATATCTACATTATAATAAGTACTGCTGTTTAGCGTAGTTTTGGAGGTCATGAATGGTCTTGTTCTTCCCGCCAGCAACTGCTTGCTACGGCAGCGTGATCGTACGGTGTAGCGCTTATGGTGCTGGCACAGCAGTACTTATTTGTGCCCATGCAGAGGCCTCACCTTCGTCGCAAACCCGCTGTGTATGTTTGATAGTACTGTTCACAGACCAAGCCGATTGCCGACGCGCACCAAACCTCCATTACGGGAAGTCCCCACAGCAGTACAGTTACTGTTGTAAATGGCCACAGAGTAGACCACAGCCGTATTTAGTGTTGTGTGCCGACTGCTGCCAAGTCCCTCTTGTAAATGCCGTATATGGTGCGGACGTGTTTGCCTGTGTATTGTCGTGCCCTTCACAGAAGTATCGGGCGCTACAGTAGAAGCTCGTTTGAACCGTAGGTCTACAAGCTCGGCGAGCTAGCTGCTGTAGGTAGCGATGCAGCAGGAACTTGTGTGTGTAGACTCCCTCATGTGTACACGAACAGGTGGCGGAAGCGCGTGCTCTGTAGAGTCAAAGCAGCGTGTAACTCTGCCGAGCAACCGTGACGCCTTATCCCAACCATGCGTTACCCACCTGCTGTGGTTCTCAGATCTTGCTAATGCTTGCTGACTCCCCCCCCCCCCCCCCCC